TGTGACATTTCCATTTTAACTGGTCAAAATTTAGGATTTACGGTCGTATGATCGATAAATATTTTGGTTGCCTTTTAAAGCAAATAGTCTATTTGAATTGTTTTTATTTCAAAGGCCTATATCTGGTGATTTATAGAGATGAAGTCTTAAATTGTGTAGAAACGCAGATAAATGAAAAAATTAAGGGAAATAAGGTTAATGTCCCACTTATCTGCTTGAATCAGGTAAAAGCCATCCAATGTTTTATGAGTCTTGCATTGAACAGTGGCATTTACACTTACTCTTCCTCATATTTCAAATGCCAAGGGTTCTTTAACATGCACACACGAGAGAGAGAGAGAGAGAGAGAGAGAGAGAGAGAGAGAGGTTTGTTAATGTCCACTCAATGCAAACTAGGTCATTTTGGCACTAACATAAAAGGTTTAATTTTATTTCAATAATACAGGGTCTTTAGCTGTGGGAGGAAACCGGAGGACCTGGAGAAAACCAACGAGGTTGGACAGGCGAACCTACTCTTTTTCATTTAGCCAGGTGTGTCGCTATGTTTTCTTGTGTTCCAAGGTGTGCCGTTGGCAAAAAAAGGTTGAAAACCACTGCTATAATAGCTCAAAAATAGATAATGCAAAATGAAAATTTCATTCAAATTACTTCATTCTGATTCAAGTTATCACTGGTTGTAGTTTTGACAAGATGTGTGCATTGTGGTAACCAGGACATTGGTATATTCGAGACTTAGCCTCCCTTTCCCATCTTTAAATTAAATTTTTAAAAGGAGAACCATTCTTATCTAGTTAAAATCTCAAGTATCCGATGCCATCTAGAGTTGTTTATGGTCTTGTTTTGTTAATAAATGTCTAATTAATAATTTAGAAAACATTTCAGGCCTAAAGAAAGACCTGCAATAGGCAGATTTAGCTCCTGCATAATGTTATGTTTAAATATACCTCAGCTGTTGTTTTCTCACTGCAGATAAATAGGACAGATTTTATGGGACAGCAAAAAAAACCACTCAAAAGTCAGCTCCACCCATAAATTGTTTATGATTATAAATTTGGATATGTAAATAGGGAACGTCACTGCATGCATGAATGACACTTCTATCATCAAATAAAGAGGCTTAATAAATAAATGGTTCAAGGTAATCTCTTCGACTTCAAGTTTCAAGTTTTTATTACCCTTCGGGGAAAATAAAGATATTTACAATATACTAAATATAAGACAATATCCATATATACTATAATATATAAACATGATATTATAAACAAGAATCAGGCCCAAAGTTCACAAAGCATTCTCAGACTATTTATATCACTGTTTAATATCTTTGATCCAGAAACACAAAACTTTGCACATAGTTTCTTATTGATGTATTTGATACATTAAAACAACAGAAGTTTTATAAGTTCAAACAAGGCGAACAATTTTGAGTAAATTGTTAAGTCTGAGAATGCTTTGTGAACTCAGGGCCAGAAATCATATTAGAATACGCCAGATCTTCCTTCTTTGGTTGTGTCTCAACTATTTATTTATTACATCTACCATTAGCCAATCAAGGCAGTAGCTGATCTATAACCCCTGCCCCCCGCCCCTCCCACTAAATGGCCCCCTACTTGACAGTATTAAAAAAAATTGAGCTTTTTGTCGATTGGGTAAATATAGCTGATGAATTGAATGCTATATTCAGAACCAAAAATCTGCCATAAATTCCAGATTTTTCAAAATTTTGTCCAACACCCAATTAACCAAATTATCCTGGATCTAGTTAGGGTTCAATTGCGGTGCTATGATGATGCTTCATAGCAGTGATAGATCATGTTAGGTTGTAATTTAGCTAGGACCGTTGCCTGTCCAACCTCGTGGGTTTTCTCTGGGTCCTCCGGTTTCCTCCCACTGCTAAAGACCCCTACGCACAAGCGAATTATTGAAATAAAATTGAACCATGTGTTTGTCCCTAAATGACCTTGTTTGTGTCGAGTGGATGTTAAACTCTCTCTCTCTCTCTCTCTCTCTTTCTCTCTCTCTCTCTCTCTCTCTCTCTCTCTCTCTCTCTCTCTCTCTTATACAGTTGGGACTGGATCTAACTGAAGGTTTCAATTGCAGTGCTATGATGACGCTTCACGTACAGCAGCGATAGATCGTACAGCAGTGATAGATCGTGTTAGACAAGCTGCCTTGTAATTTAGTCAGGATCGTTACACAGTTATTTTCCCAATAATTACCTACTATACACATTAATATAATCTGAATGTTAACTTGATTGATTGAAAGTGATATGAAAATCTGTCAGTATATGGATGACAGCTGACATGCCCATTAGCTGTTCTATTCAGATATTTATATCTAAATAAGTTAAAATAGCCTGGTGAAGTTTTTCACCAGTGGAGGGGAGAGTTCACATGTTCTGAAAACCAAGCAAGTTTAAATGTTTTGACCTGGTCAGTTAAAGATTAGAGGTAATTAGGCATGTGCCCAAAGCTATCCAGAGCCCTGATTTTTAAACTGCCAGCTCTTTATCTAATGTCCCATAATGTATCGTTAACATGAAAACAAATAAAATCAGGTGAACATCCTACTTTTCTGCACCGAGTTAATGAAGACAAGTGGTGCTACAATGGTGGATGAGTAAAGATAATATTGCATAAACATTTTCAAAAACAAATCGTAATAATCACTATGATCAGCTGACTACAGGATAATATTCTTTTACCTATTGTCTAGCGAAAGCCAACCAAATAGTCCGATACATTTGACAAGGATATTACATCATACACGGTTGGTTGAATTACGGAGTACATCGCTTTACAACATCCTCGTTGACATTAATTTATCCAGTTATTTGTATAATCACTGTACATTTATTCAGCTTTTATTTATGCGTTCAGTGGGATATTGTTGATTTGTAATATTTCTATGAGATTCCGTACATTACGACATCGGCTGAACTAGATAATAGTACTTCCAAACCTAGCTTAATGGAATGTTGTATCCATTTGTACTCACAAATAGTTGACCCATCTTCATAAAATATTTATGAGAGAGACATAGATAGAGAGATGGGTTTAACTTCCACTCGACACAAACAAGGCCATTTTGGGACTAACATACAGTTATATTTATAAGAGGGATAAATGGGGTTTAACATCCACTCAACACAAACAAGGCCATTTCGAACTAACATATGGTTCGATTTTATTTCAATAATTCCCTTGCATGTAGGTTGCCTTTGGCTCTGGGAGGACACAGAGATGGGGTTTAACTTCCACAAGAAACAAACAAGGCCATTTCGGACTAATATATGGTTCAATATTATTTTAAGAATTCACTTGCCTGTCGAGTGTCTTTAGATGTGGGAGGAAACAGGAGGACCTGGAGAAAACCCCCAAGGTTGGATAAGCGACCCTACTCCTTGTCATGTACAATAAAAACCATGCCACTTGACTCAATAACAGACCTTAGAATCTAACGTGCACGCATGACGCCGAAATATTTATAGGTACTGCAGTAGTGTATAGTAGATTTCCGAAAAATTCAAAATTACCTAAAAAATATATTTTATGCCCCCGTCAGACTGGGGTGGCATCCTTACTGTGCTGATGCGACCGTACGGCGACCAGGAAATGCACAAAGTCGCCGGCAAACGTGAACACAATGCACGAAGGTGTCCCAAAAAATTACAAACTTGAAAAAAACGTGTTCTCACAGCTATCTGGGTCAGATCACAGAACCTTGGCGTTTGTTTTGAACATGCACGATATCTGGCGTTTCCACAACGCTTAGGACGATCTTGATGCGCTCTGAGACCATTTTCCGTCGCCGTAGCAGCACAGTAAGGCCACCACCCCGGTCTGACGGGTGTGTGAGGGGTATAAGCATATGCCCCTGACAACTCAATTTTGGGGGAGTTAAAAGAGAAGTCCCTGTCAAAAATGTATAATAGAATACAATTCAAACACCAAAATGTGAAGAAAAAGCCAACTATGACTAGTACGAAAATTTCAAATCAAAATATGGAGGAATTCTGATATGATTGCTGGGGTTACACAATTTAGGGCTTTTTTACTGCTTAATTCTATGAGTGACAATCACTCATCACTTAAAATCAGCAAAAAATATAGAAATGGTATCATTGGGAACTTCTGTCCAACCCCACATAGAAACTGGAAGTTGATATATTTTAAAAAAAGAGTTAGGGGGTTTACCCGTTTTTTATTCACTAAAATATATCTTAAACAACTTCCTTAAATACCACCCTAAACGACCATAAAATATCTTGGACGCTTCCTTAATGAAATAGGGTTTAATTTCCTACTTTTCTGCAAAGCCATGTGCCATGTTGGGAAAAATTGCCCGGACAGCGGTGCCACAGCCTACTCTTATTTCAAATTCTAACTGTCAAGGGTTTCTTTACATATTGTCCAAGTAACTAGACACTGTTCTTGCCGGACCAGGGGGTTGGATGGTTGAATGGTTATTAGCATGTGTGCGCTCTATCATAAGGTCTGTCATTAAGTCAAATGCGGTGGTTTTGATTCCCTGGTTGTATGTGACATAGAGTAGGGTTGCCTGTCCATCCATCCTCATGGGTTTTCTCCGGGTCCTCCAGTTTCCTCCCACTGCTAAAGACCCCTACACACAAGCAAATTATTGAAATAAAATTAAACCATATGTTAGTTCCGAAATGACCTAGTTTGTGTCTAGTGGAGTTATACACCATTTCTCTCTCTCTCCCTTCTTGCCAGACCATGACCTTATTAAACTCAAAGGAACAGACCTCCAAAGTGCAGAGGACCCTATATGTACCCATTAAACAAATAAACGGTTGTCTAGTCTCAATTCATAAGCTGACACTCCTCAATATATCCGCATTGCTATTAATTCACTAAAAACCTGTCTTTATTACCCCAGTCGTTGCAGAAAAGTTGTACGTTAAACCCCATTTTATTTCATTTCAATTTTACTAAAATCCAATCATATTTTAACATAAACTAAGTTTGACTTACTTGTAAGGCATTTCTATAGACAACCCTGATTCGACTTCATGTATACTATTCTTATGTAAAACACACTATTAATCCCTTTAAATGGAGCAAACCTTCTCGACACAATTAGGAAAATGATATATCCCACATCGTTGCTTAATTGTTTAAATGCTCTGTTTATATAACATCCGAATAACAAAAAAACGTCTTCAAATTCTAAATCAGAACCCTACTGTTTAATCACCGACACACGCTATACACGTCTGCATCAACCAAATAAAAAAAATATTCCTAAATTATCCACCAATAACAGTCTAGTTAACAAAATAATCCAGGTTTACGTTTCACGGATCAATTAACATAGTTTTATAGAAGCGAGCTGTCCTAATCACTGAAGCAGAACCAAAATAACAGTAGATTTAATAATAGAAATAGTATACGACACCATCAGGTATCATCTCTTACCTGTGTCAGGTGTCTGGTTAACATCTTTATCTGTGTACGGTTAACATTTATTGTACACAAGATAAATTAAAAATATAATTTTTATACAAACTATTTTTCCATGAAATAATTAGTGAATCATTCTTTAAAATATAATTTCATAAATTTGGTTCTGTATTTTTTTTTTGTTTTTTGTTTTTTGGGTGGGGGGTGGGGGCAAACTTACGAGTAAATTATTCAATCAAATCATTTGACACTCACAGTTCTAGAATAATTAGGTCAAATCATTTGTCACCCACAGTTTCAGAATTTTATTGAAATCTGAAGAAAATGATTCTGAATTCGTTGATACAAAATCACTTACAACCGCAAAAAAAAAAGGATCTACCAATCAAGTAAATTCACATTCAGTTAGCATCATAACCAAAAGAAGGTTCCAGAAATCGGTAGAACAAAATTCTGAATTCTTTCATAAACAATCTTAAACTTCAGTAATTCTATCTCTGTAATCAAGGAATTCATCCTAACTCTCCAACAGAATTAATACCAATGGTCATGGAATTCAAGCAAATCTCCAACAGAATTAATACCAATGATTGCAGAAATTTAACCTCGGTCTCCAACGGAATTAATACCAATGGTCATAATAAATTCAGGCAAATCTCCAACAGAATTAATACCATTTATTGTGGAATTCAACCTCGGTCTCCCAACGTAACTGTCCAATGATTACTGTAAACGACAGCATCTCGGTATTCTTGGTTAATTATGTAGCTTAGCAACAATTAACTTAACACACAATATCAGTAGAGACAGAAGTCAATTAACATCGGTGACAAATGCGAACAAATGGAAATGAAATAAAATGGAATTTAACGTCCTACTGTTCTGCTCCGACTGGGATACAGTGTGCTATGAGGGAAATTTTGCCAGTATAGAGGCACTATGGTCTACGCTGATATCAATTTCCAACTGCCAAGGGATCTTTTATGTGCATGCCACTATGTAAACAGGACCTCAGTTTTCTGTCCCATCCGAATGACTATACATTGTCCCTTGCCAGGCCCTCCGTTCTATGCCATTATATACATGGGACCTCAGTTTTACATACCATCCGAATGACTATACTTTTCTCTTGCTCGTAAATCATTCCTTCACCAATGACAAGGGAGAACTACGCCGCACAATTCTGACTTTCTCAGTGAACACCGGGTTTGAACACTGGACCTCCAGACTAGCAAACCAACGTCCTACTCACAGAGCCACCTGTCATATTTGGGTAATCAGAAATAAATTTAATCAACAAGTTAATCAAACCGGGTCAAGATTATGTAATTTACTGATCTTTCTACAGCCAAGATATACATCATTTACATGATCAATATTATTTTTGACCCAATTTTCACATGACCAAAATTATTTTTGACACAATGATCGATATTATTTTTGACACAATGATCGATATTATTTTTGACACAATGATTGATATTAGTTCTGACCCTATCCTCACATGATCGATATTATTCTTGACCTGATCGATATTATTCTTGACCTGATCGATATTATTCTTGACCTGATCATCACATGATTGATATCATTTTTGACTTGATTTTCACATGATCAATATTAGTTCTGACCCTATCTTCACATGATTGATATTAGTTCTGAGTCTGACCCTATCCTCACATGATCGATATTATTTCTTGACCTGATTATCACCTGATCAACATTATTCTTGACCTGATCATCACATGATCGATATTATGTTTGACCTGATCATCACATGATTGATATTTGTTCTGACCCTATCCTCACATGATTAATATTATTTTTGACCCTATCCTCACAGTCAATATTATTTTCGGCCCAATCCTCAGAGATCAATAATCAAGAGGAACTGTCTCATTACAGCTTCTGTACTATACGCAACAAGCTATTTTAGTTCCCTTGATGTATGAACGCAATAGGGAAAAATCTGGACGGCTTTTAATATAACTCTCTTGTGAAGTAAACCTTTATCTGTTTCAATTATTGGGCCATGACATATCAAATATCATTCATGTCAAATATTTAAATATGAAATAAACATAGTTCGCAAGCATGATCCGGAAAAAGCGGATCTTATCATTATAACTATTCAACCTACTTCAGACTTCTTAGTAAATGATTGGTCTAATATTGTCTGACATCAAATTTAAGATGGGAGATAAGATAAAGATCTGACAGTTCTCACTATAATAGTTGAAAACTAGATAATGTAAAGGCAATTTGCTGAAAATTATGGTCAAATTGAAGCGATCAAGCGATTGAAATTTTGACCTAGCCTCGATCATCATTACTAAAGTCGATAAGATAAAAAACACAGTCTTGATCATCCATTTCATGATTAAATTATGAATGGAAGTCGAGCAGCAAATTGGATCATAATCCAGAAAATATCGCAGGCTAGCGATGCCATCGAGAGTTGATTATGATCTGGATAAGTTAATTAATAATTTAGATAACATTTCAGGCCTAAAGAAAGACCTGCAATTGGCAGATTTTAGTTCTTGCATATTAAATGTATGTTTAAAACTTATTTTAGAAACTGTCACAATTTGTAAATCCGCTCAAAACAAGCTCTAGTGCTTCAAACCAAGGTCTTGATTATATACCATTAAAGTCAAGACAAACCAATTTCATGTTTTAGTTCTTTGTAGTCTTGACGAGGAAATGGCCTCTTGGGTCATTTGAGTGATGAGTGTTGAAAATTTCTAAACTTAAAGAAACTTCTAAAGAAACGGGAATCGATTATCAGGTCGCCCAACGAAAAAATTGACCAGAAATCTTAAAAGGGTTACGTGTCCGGATAAGCATTTTTGACTTTCATGTACAAACGGCTCAATATTTTGAGCTGAAATTTTGAGACAAGGTAAATACACCATTCCTCTATATTTGGGTGCTTAAATTTCATACGAACACGGACATTTATTTTTGACACTCTGTTCAAATCGGGATAGTCCCTTTAAACTGTTGCTATAGCTGGATGGAACAGTGGCATGACGCCTAATCGCTGTCATCTTGGAACTGTCAGTCAATTTTCTCTCTCTTTCAAGATTCCCTTGAGTGGATCTCTCTCTCTCTCTCTCTCTCTCTCTCTCTCTCTCTCAAACTCCATTCCGCTGTGTCTCTCACCGCCCCCCTCCCTCCCTATCCTCTCCTCTCCCCGGAACGTAACTTACTGCCTACTGTGCATGCTAACAGCGAGCTGGAGCTGTTTTTTTTAAGCCAACCCGTTTTGACGGCCAAGATGAACCAGATTAAAATAAAAAGCCTTCTCAAAGACAGGTTGCGAGCTGGGGCTTTAAACTGGTTTATTTGCCCCACATTTGCATTCTGATCACAACGTTAAACTGGTTGTTTTAACGATCCCCGGGTTTTTTAAAACCAGTTCAAATTAAGCATCTGAACGGCCTCTCTCTCTCTTTCACATATCACTCTCTCACTCTCTCTCTCTCTTTCACATATCACTCTCTCACTCTCTCTCTCTCTTTCACATATCACTCTTTCACTCTCTCTCTCTCTTTCACATATCACTCTCTCTCTCTCTCTCTCTCTCTTTCACATATCATTCTCTCACTCTCTCTCTCTTTCACATATCACTCTCTCACTCTCTCTCTCTCTCTCTCACTCTCTCTCTCTCTTTCACATATCACTCTCTCACTCTCTCTCTCTCTCTCTTTCTCTCTCTTTGTAAAAGACTATAAACCTATAGAATTTAAATTAACTGTTTGTCTGGATAGTTAACCTTAATAAATCTCAGTGGCAGTTTAAGTAGAAATACTTTAACTTGGGTTATATGATTAAGACTCAAGTATCCTGTTTGGTTGTGATCTGAGAGTCGACCAACTTTCTACACAGTTATCATTACATTAATGGTCAGATCTAAAAATCATTGACTTTTAGTCAAATTGATTAATAAAACAAAATATTATGGAATGTCTCAAACATAGACATCATGGTCTAAAGTGCACTCCCCCACCCCCACCACACCAACCCCCGCTACCAAAACAGACAAAACAACTAGCATCTTTATAGGTGATATTTATTAACCTCATTATCGTCGGTGAAGTTGCAAAAGGTTGTATCTTCTTTTTTCCTTACTTTACAGGAGAGACTAAAAACTTCGTTATTGTTTTTCTATAAAAGGTACGAGATTGAGCTTTTACGGTTCGACGTTGTATCAACCAGCTAAAAATCTCATACAGTCCATTTTTTTGTGTACCGAGTTACGACAATTTGACACGTAAATTTAGAAATTAATATAGTTTATACGATCTTTTGTTGCTCTTTCTGATGATCATAAAAAATTATTCAATTGGAATAGAGATACGATTATTAGATAAAAAGATGTGCCATACGATGGGGAAATCAGAAATACAAAAAATCATTTTTCATCAAAATGATAAAGGTTAAGTTGTAGAATTTGAATAACTCAGTCTACTCGTGAAATCTCTGTTTTGACGGAAGCTGGTTGGTTGTAATATGAAACCAGCAATTGACTAAATTATTTCAAATAAAAATACAGACACATTACTTTTAGCATATCTCGAAAAATCTTTTTTTGATGTCAAAAGTGAAGTGTTTACAACTTTTTAGCCTGTCCCTAGAGTCAAACTGTTGACTAAATAAATAAATAAATGAATTTTCGTCTCATAGCTATTATGGTATATATACACTTCAACATTAGCTGAAATTTCCAAGCTCTCTTAACAGACCTCAATAACTAAT